TTTTGAAACTTTAGGAGTTAAAAAATAATTATTCGAAACTTTAGGGGCCAATTTAAACAAATTATGAACTTTTCAGGACTTAATTACATAATTTAGAACTTTAATGGCCCAAATTAATTAATTTTTTAAACTTCAAGGATTGAATTATTAAACTCTAAACTTTAAAACGCCTAATATGATGAATTTTAACCTTAGGTGGCTTAATTACCAAAGTTTTAAACTTAAGGGGCTAAAACTATAAAAACTTAACCCTAATCTGAAATTGCAAGCAAGGACCCGAACTTATCTAATTTTCAGCCTAAGTCCTTGTCTCCAAAATCACCCAAAAAACCCTATTTTTTTTCTTTTTTTTTTTTTTGGTTGAAGCCCTATGGAAGCTCTCGCAGGCACCGTCCAAAAAAAAAAAAATCAAGGCAGCGCTTCGCTACATTGTGCGCATTGGTGCTGCGCGGGTTCCTTCGGTAGTGCGCATCTTGTTGTCGATGACGGCCCTACAGCGCCTTCGGCGACCAATTTTTTTTTTTCTTTAAAAAAAAATTGAAATCTGAAAAACTGACCGAATAATTTTCAAATTTAACAAAATTAATACTGAAATTGCTAAATTTGAAAACAATAAAATTATATAAGAATCAAATTAAAATTTTGATTCGCAATGATTCAACATGAATTGACTTTGATATCACTTGTTGAGAAATTTCTTTTACTGTCATATTGATTATTCATGTTGAATTATCAAGAATTTGTGAACCGAAGCGGAAGCGTATTTGAATCAGATATGATTGATACAATGAATGAATCATGCGGTTTTAATCTTCCAAATCAACACGTTGTTCTTTTGTTTCTCTATGAAAATGGAAGTAAGAACAGAATGAACAATTCACGTGTGATCCGAGGACCATAACCGTATATATATACTAATGACACATTAACCTAATTGGCCCATCATGAAATTAGGAACAGACATGGTCTTACACATAAAGGCCCACACTTTAATTGGATACTTCAAAACCCAAAATACCGATACCTTATTAGATCACTTTAAATAGATTTAACCAAAATTGATAGTTTTTAATTTAATACACAATATTTCACATATAAGCCCACATGTTCGATTAAAATTTGGGAAAATTAGGTCTAATACCCTAAAATATTGATTAATTTGATTAATACCTTTTAAACTAATTAAAGCTTTTAAATAAGTCATTATTATGTCCTAAACTGTTAATTAAAACCCACACCTATTTCAGTAACCCCATGGAAACTCACTCCTCCACATAGAAACCCTCTTCCTTTCCTCAACAATATTATCGGGGT